GCATACTGTCGAGGGCATCTTCTGAATGGACTCGGCGTCTTCTTAGACTTTCAATTCCGGACAACATGGCGTCCATCAGATCTTTGAATGCATGTAAATAACACTCCTGTACGTTTCGAATTCGTCTTTAATTCTAACGCTTCACTTAAAACCAAAATAACAAATACAGAAATTAATAAATACGACCTTAAACTTAAATAAACCGAAAATACAACAATACGAAAAACAGCAAAAAATAGAAAGGAAAAACGAGATTACTCACAAGATCTGTACGGCACTCCAGAACTGACAACGACTGAATACAACTAAAACACTACAACGCTTTTAAACGGAATTTTGAACTAAAAGAATAAACTTAACGAGGTTACGTGATAAACAATAGACGATTACATAACACGACGTGAAAAAACTAATTTGCATTTAAAACTGCACAAAAAACGGTACGCAAAAGATTAACCTTTAACAACAAAGACAAAACAGAAAAGAAAAGGCGACCAAAAACGGAAAAATTTAACTCTCGTGGCTACACTCCCATCGATTCAATTTTCACCTTCGCTAGATATAGACTGAACTATTAAAGCCAACAAATGCATCCAAAATATAGCCAATGAAATATGGCTGTTCCCACAGTTAACATCCCAAAGCTATTTCAAAGTCGTGTTCGTGAACAGAATAAATAATTCGTATGGTGTGATCGTCCGGGTGAGTGTAGTTCTGAAAAGAACTGTTGTTGGTGACTGAGGCTTCGACAACCTGAGCGGAAGTCATCTTCAGAGTCAAGTGAATAATGTTTGTCAGTCGATGATGTTTATAAGTCTGGTCCGTTGAACGTGATTGGTCAGTATAGCCATGATGGTATTGGCTGAAAGACTCGTGTAAAGTTTGTCATCAGTCATTTCGATCCGTCTATTGTTAGTCAAATAGGTCGGTTTTTGGTCTGTGCATTGTTGACCCTTTGAATACCAACTACAAATATATATGCGTAATTAATGGTCGTGCTCTTTGTACCACTTGTGATGTCATCAATTTAAATGTCATCAGGTATTCTTGACAAGCAAATAGTAGTA